TGGCTCAGGCATATTAATAACTCAACAAACTTCACAGCTAATAATGATACCACAGGTGGTAGAAATGAATATTCAGTAAGGTACCAAGTACTTCCCCCACACCTATTACCTACACTGTGTGTCTAGGTGTAGGTCTGAGCTAACAGAATTCACCAAGTGAAACCACTTGCCCCAAATGGGTTCACCTCTACCCTGCTTTACAAACAGAGTCTCCTCAACGTATTCCTTGGCTGGAAATTTGCATTCTCTCCAAAATCAATTAACGAGTTCATTTCTGAAGACACAGCAGCATATATCAAAATGAAGATCTAATCACCCGTTGTTCCGACAATGCATTTTTATTTTACCAGGATGTGTGAAGTGATTGTTTCTCATTTGTCATCATGCACTGCACTCTGGGTTGGAGGGAAGATGCATCCTGAAAGATAGGACTTGACACCAGAGACTAATTCTGAATTTTCTGTTTAAAGAGTATATATGTATATATATTGCAGAAGACAGTCTATTGGGGGCTGTTTTTTAAAATTCCTACTCAAAATTCTGAGAATAAACAAATAGAGAAGAAAGACAATTGCCAATCTGTGGACAAAAGAAATACAGGTTTATTCAAGCAAAGAAAAGTGGGGATGAGCAAAATTCTATATTTTTAAGAAGCTTCTGTGTTACCAAAGCTGAAAGTGGGGTCCGACTGCTTGCCACTCAAAAGCCAATTAAGAGGCCAGCTTGGTGGAAAGGAAAGTTTGTTTTATTTTGGAGGCCAGCAACCATGGGGAAGTGTGGACGCCTGTCCAAAAGCCAACTCTCTGCCCCAACCCCACCTTTCTGCTGACAATCAGCAGGCAAGAGCTTTTATAGGCTGAAGGAGAGGGCTCCATGCAGAAACAGTACAGTCAGCTCTGATGGTCATCTGGAAACCGGTCATCAGTGATCTGACCAGTGTCATTTTGATTGTTTTATGTACAGTTAATCTTCAGTTCTCTGGTCAGTGTGTTCCCCTCTCCTTGAGGTCAGTTCCATAATTAGAATTATAAAAGCTTATGTCATGGCTACAAACTGGTCATCATGCAGATAACTTCTTCTACCTGGTGGGGGTTTCAGTATCTACAAGATGGATCACAGGATATGGCTCAGAATATTATCTATAGCTCTTGAGAAGGAACTAAATGTTCCTGACTATGCTTAATGTTGACATTATTATTATTTGGTCTCCTTTGACTGTTTTTCTTTGTTTCTGCATTTTCTCACTTCTCTGATAAAGCTTATCCTTTGGCTGAAGTTTTTCACAGACAAAAGGCAGGCAACGAACATGGAAGGGCAAGGACCATACAGTCCTGCTCTATTTCATCGCCACAAAGAAGAAAATGACTCCAGAGGAAAATTAATTAGAGCTGGCAGGTAAAATTTGAAGGATCCTTCCCTTTTTAAAAGACTAAAATTTCACAACTAGATAATCATTTCTTTGGCTTGGAGCTATATGCCAGTGATAGCTGGCATAATAATCTGTAGCTGGCATAATCTAATCTTTGTCTTTCTTTGTGTAGAGAATCTATCCTCACCTATTTACATGACCTGTGCCCCCTAAGCTGTAGCTAACTGGATGAGGGCAGTCCACATGACCCAGAGAGAATTGATGCAAAGGCTGGGTTGAGCCAAGCTGATGCTCTTTCTCTAGACTTAGGACTAAGAAGCATGGAGCAGATCATTCTTTAGTAGAGAGTTGAGTGGTAAATTCAACTAGAGCCAGGATTAGAGACGGTGACATGGCCAGCCAAAAACGATGGGGGAGATATGTGAGCAGGGAGGGAAAGTCAATCTGAAGAAAGAGGCGGTCAGTAGAGACAAGCAGAGAAACAGACCATGTGCCCTGATAATTCTCGTTCTGGAATTTGTGGATTCAGCCTCAGTAACCTGCTTATAATTTATTTCTGGTTCTTGAGGGTCAGTGAGAAGGACTATTGCATTCTTCTTCTACATGTCTTTTATTTGAGCATGAAAGTGAAAGTGAAAGTCGCTCAGTTGTGTCTGACCCTTTGGGACACCGTGGACTATACAGTCAATGGACTTCTCCAGGCCAGAATACTGGAGTGGGTAGCCTTTCCCTTCTCCAGGGTTAGGGTTACCCCAACCCAGGGAATGAACCCAGGTTTCCTGCATTGCAGGCGAATTCTTTACCAGCGGAGCCACCAGGGAAGCTATTTGAGCTTATCTCATGGGTTTTTGTTTTGTTTTAATTCCTTGTCACCAAAAGATCAATGTACCAGATATTGACATTGGTGGGGAACTCACACCTGGCACCAAAGCCAACTCCTATGTCTTTACAATACTTCTTATAAGAATTATCTGACCATATCAAAGCAAAAGAATGCCTTCTTTTCATTCCTCCCCAGTGACAGATGGTCTGCCTTCCAGAAGCTTTTGTATCATCTCATTTGAAATATTTAAAGGAGGCTTCCATGCTCTGGAATTCTGGGTAGTGAGTTTTCTGTCATAAGAAATATTCAGAATGAGCTTGATTGATCATCTGGAGGAGATGTGTAGGAGACAAATGGAAATACCCAAGAGGTGTTTAAACTAGATCACCTCTACTCATAACCTTCATTTTCTAGGGTCACCCTGGCCTCTCTGGTCAGACTGCATGCATGCTTGTGCTCAGTCATGCCCAGCTCTTTCTGATCCCGTGGATCGTAACCCACTTCCATGTTCCTCTGTCCATGGAATGTCCCAGGCAAAAATACTGGAGTGGGTTGCCATTTCCTGCTCCAGGGAACCTTCCTGACCAAGGGATTGAACCCATGTCTCCTACGTCTTGGGTTCTTTACCACTGACACCACCTGGGAAGCCTCTTTTGTCAGAATGCAAGTGCCCAATCTTCTGTCATTCCCCTGCAAACATCTTCCTATGTTCTTGCCTCATTTAGACGTGCTCCCATTTGCCAATGTCCTTCTTCAAGAGTGACCCTCAGAACCAGCCAAATGTGATCTGACCAGAAAAGAAAATGCCCCGCCACTTCTTTTGTCTGCCTTTCCTTCCAAGGAGAGTACACCCTAAAATTGCAATGATGCCTCAGCAATGGCTCCAGCTGAACCTGGGGTCACCCCAACTGTCCCGAGTAGTAGCAATCTGGACACAAATTTTGATAGGAGGCTGGGAAGGAGGGCATGTGCTCAATGGTGTGCAAACCCATTGCCTTTTGGAAAGACACCATCACCTTGGGGAAGCACAGCCAGCAGGTAGGAAGGGAAGCAAGACAATTCCAGAGGTAAGTTTCCCTTTTGCAGTTTCCTCTGATTGACGCTTGGACTTGCCAGGTGGCACTGGTGGTAAAGAACCCACCTGCCAATGCTGGAGACATAAGAGATGCTGGTTTGATCCCTGGATCAGGAAGATTCCCCTGGAGGAGGAAATGGCACCCCACTCCAGTATTCTTGCCAGGAGAATCCCATGGACAGAGAAGTCTGGCGGGCTACAGTCTCTGGGGTCCGCAAGGAGTCAGACATGACTGAGCATCTGAGAACCTGATTGACCGCAGGAATTCAGCACCATGGAGACAGCCAACCCCAAACCTCCAGAACAATGTTTTCACCTGCCTTCAGCCTAGATTATACCAAGGAACTTCCCCCCAGAGTCTTCCCTATCCACACTTCCAAGTTTACCATCTGAGCACACCTGAAACCTAGACATCCAAAGATTCCACTGTGAAAGCATTTTATGGTTTTGAAAAAAAGAATCAGAGTAAAGGGTGCCGTAATACACAAGAATGTGTCCCAGGGCAAGGCACAGTGGAATGCTTAAGAGTGAAGACAGCTCCTTCAGGTCAGCTGTGAGCTGCTTCACTGCGATACAATGACAGACTCCAACTTAGCAGCCCACCACCCACCCACCTACCCCCCCCCACACACACTCACATCACATATTTTAAATTGTGTCTTAAGCATCAGGACAAACAAGGAACTTCTACAGATTGATGATTCCCACATTAAACCCAACCTATCAACCTGGGATGATTGGCCAGATAATATTCTTGAAAATACTCTCAAGGACTCTATAGGTGCCTCTTCCTCCACTCACTCCATGTCATGTGTGTACACAATGCCCCATCAGAGGGTGTCCCCCATTCAAGACATTCCAAAGAATGCTATACCCATCTCTTTGTGCATTCATTCAAAATTACCCAGCATCTGCCAAGAGCTTTCCTTCCAAGAGCTTTCCCTCCAAGGGCTTACCCTGGAGGGAAGAGTCACAAGATTATGTCTCTACCAGTCGCTCAATACAATGGTGGATGCGTGCTCGGTCGTGTCCAACTTTTTGCCACCCCATGGACTGTAGCCTGCCAGTCTCCTCTGTCCATGGGATTTCCCAGGCAAGAATACAAGAGTGGGTTGCCATTTCCTCTTCCAGAGGATCTTCTCAACCCAGGGATTGAACCTGGGTCTCTTGCAGGTTCAGATTCTTTACCAAGTCACCTGGGAAGTCAATACAATACCGTACTGGGTAAATAAGTTGCAAAAGCATAACACACCATAGCAGGTTAGGGGAAGGGAAGGTGAAGGGTTGGCAGGTTACAACTTCCTGAAAAGCAGGGAAGGTGAACTGGATGATGAAGGCTCAGTCTGAGCATGGGTCGCAGGAGAACAGAGGAGCCTGGCTGTCATTTCCACTGCCAGCCTGGAGGGCTGCAGAGAGTCATTATCCTCGCACGCCTGAAGCATGATGTCTTGAGTGTTCCCGGCAACTCAATTACGGATGCAAATTTTCCGCGGAGTTGACTTCTTGGTCTTCAAGAGCCACGCACACGCTCCTTTGGGCTGTTTGCACGGGGAAAACATTGTTGGGAAAGGAGCCTGAGGACCAACCACTGGAAAGTGCACTCAATTGCACTTTGGTTGAGATAATTGCTGCGTTTTTTTGTGTATGTGTTGTTTTTTTTTTTAAATTGTAGGCTCTGGAGGTGACCACAAGCAAAATTTGTGACAGACATTTGACACTGAGAAACTGCCATGTACGGGGTGAAACTTTTCACATCCTCAACCTCTCCCCTCCCCCCAGACTGGTTTGTTGACTAACAAAGGAAAATTATCTAAAACCACTGGAGGACGTTAGCCAAGTCTTCTCTTCTGTCGTAATGCTCTTTGTGCTGGGCATCAAGATTTCTCATGGTTACAGGCACGCGGATTCCCTTCCAGGCAAGCCCAGTCAAGTTCATGGCCCGGGTGACCTTGGCAGCCCAGCAGCACCATCAGTTCAAGTGTGTTATTTCTTGAGCTCGAAAGTGCAGATTTGCAGAGACCCCTACCTGCAATGCAAGAGACCGGGTTTAATCCCTGGGTCAGGAAGATTCCCCCGGAGAGGGGAATGGCAGCCCACTCGGGTATTCTGGCCTGGAAAATTGTACAGACAGAGGAGCCTGGCAGGCTGCAGTCCATGGCATCTCAAAGAGTCAGACATGAATGAGGCAATTAACACTTTCTCACCCACCATGGGCTCCAAAGACTTCATAGCCTTGCTCAGTTCCTGCACAGACCCTCTTTATCCTCTGAGGAGATGTCCTCCTTTGTTCCTTTCTGCCTGTGGCAACCTCTGTCTCCAAGAAAGCTGGCAGGCATGACTGGGCAAAGGACACCAGTCCATCAAGTGGGAAAAAAAGATCCCCAGCCTCATGGAAGTAAAACACAGGGCCGTCAGAGACGTCCTCCCTGTTCGCAGCTATTAGGACCCTGTGATGACTGCCAGCATCACGAGGATGCAATCAGAACTGAGTGAAGGGCTTAGAGAGACACCTACGTGGCAAATCTCCAGCCTCAGCTGGAGCCTCAGCCTCAGCCTCCGCCTCCCTGGCTGGCTTCCCTCCCAGAGGAGCATCCTTGCCTATTGGCCTTAACAATCCTGCTTCTCGTTGTCAAGATGGCATGACAGCAACAGTATTAGATTGGGAGGTCAGACTGACTTTGTGTCTGCCATCTTTTGGACTGGGGGGCCTCAAGAAGTGATCTGTTCCATCACCTGAGAAATTATAAAAATATTCATCTCCTAGGGTTCCGGGGAAGACTCAATAAGACTGTGGAGGTGAAAATGACTACCTACCGTGGAGCCTAGCCCATGGTTTGTCATGAATTAAAGTAAATGGCCCCACAAACTACCTTAACGAATCAATCAAGAAGCACTTCTGGGGAGCCTGCGTGTATGCTCAAGGCTTCCCCTGTGGCTCAGAAGTAAAGAATTTGTCTGCAGTACAGGAGGCTTAGGTGATGCAGGTTCGATCCCTGGGTCAGAAAGTTCCCTGGAGTAGGAAATGGCAATCCGTGGTAGTTTTCTTGGCTGGAAAATCCCATGGACAGAGGAGCCTGGTGGGTTACAGTCCACAGGGTGGCAAAGAGTCAGACACGACCGAGGGACTGAGCATGCGTGCGATGAAGGTGACAAAAATGGACCAAGTATTTTTTCCCCCAAGGAACTTATAGCCTAGTTGAGGAGGTGATGTAAGTATGGGCCGTAACAAATTTAAAAGCAGTGAACAGGCATCCAAAATAAAGGTACTCTGTATGTGCCATGGAAATCTCAAAGAAGGAGCAAGAAGAGCAAGACAGGAAAGTCAAGGAAGGAGAGGTTTTAGCTGAACCTCGAAGGCTGAGGAGGACTTTGACAAGCCCAGAAGACATCCATCCCCCAGGAAGGAAGGCTTTCAAGGAAACGTTAGCATGAATTTTCACCGTCAAAGTTGATCTTTCAAGGGCCCAATTGCCCTTGAATAATTATGAAAACTCAAGCCCACACTCTAATGTATAAAAGAAAGAAGGGCATCTACTTTCTGCCTCCTCCATGAGACTGTCTTAGATTCAAAACAGGAACTATGGTTTGTGGCTCAGACAATAAAAAATGTGCCTGAAATGGAGGAGACCCAGGTTCAATCCCTGGGTCAGGAAGATCCCCTGGAGAAGGGAATGGCAACCCACACCAGAATTCTTGCCCGGAGAATTTCACGGACAGAGGAGCCTGGTGGGCTACAGTCCATGGGGTCTCAAAGAGTTGGACACGACTGAGTGAGTAACACATGGTTTTCCAATCTCAGAAAGAGAACCGAAGGCAAGAAAAAGACAAGAGAAACTAAAGCATGCAGAGGGATGACCATCTGTGTTTGCTGGTTTAGTCTTCCTTCCAATGTGTAATTACCCTGCCAAGGGCTGAGTTGGCCATTTGGAGAGACGATGAGGCAGGTCAAGCAAATAACCCACAAATGAGGAAAACAACCTACAGACCGTGGACTGTATGGACCGGGCTTTTCTCTTAAAGGAGATTTGTGTTTGCCAACTAAAAACAAGACACTGCCTCAAAGCGTTTTAATTTGGTAGGAAACATCAAATTCACAGCTCTTCAGCAAAGTCTAAAGTGCTGCCAACCACCTTACCCCTAGAATAAAACATAAGATGGTATTATTTTCATTTTGTGTGAAACATTCAAAGTTCAGGGCTGGAAAATGGTGTGTGGGCTGATGTCTGATAGTGCAGCCGGTTATTATGTAGTGACTCACGAGAAATTTCCAGAGCTACCACACCTTAAAGTTAAACTCACTCAAGCCAGACAGTAAACTATTAGTAGAGATATTTTTGCAACCATAATTTCTAGTCTTTTAACTAATTTTTTTTAACTTGCAGCATGGCCAGTTTTGTAAAAGTTATAGAGCTTTTTTTTTCCCTCTGGCATCAGGGTTTTGGAATATTTATCCTTTTTAAAAACAATACAAAATAAAAACATGCCCTTGGGGTATTTTAAGGAATTTTTTTGGCCAACCAACTTGGTCAACCAGCGTTGTCCTGGCGCACTGACTCCACCGTGTCAGCCAGCCCGGCTGCCCACCACAGGAAGGACTCAGCTCAGGACTCCTGTGGTTGTGGCCATGTCTGCCCCAGGTACCCAAAAGGAAGTCTCTCTGTGGCCAGGCCAAGCAAGATGGCACCATGCGAGGAGTGGGGAGAGCTGCTGACAGGACCCCGGAGCTCTGGGAGAGGCTACTATGCAGAGGAGGAGCTGCCAAGCTTTTCTCTGACACCAAGTGAAGCAACTAGCAAAGCATGCATCCCTCCAGAATAGCCTTTATCCCTCCAGCTGAGTCCAGTTGGGGTCCCCTGCATTAATATACTTCATGTACCCAGCAGGAACCCACGATGAAGCTGCACCTACCTGCATGCGAGAACCCAGAGCTGGAAGCTTCTGTTGAACATCAACAGGTCTTTAGAGAACTTTCAAAGGAAAGAGCTTGAGTCTCAGGATCTCTCTATAGCAACTGTGGTGGTGCTGGAGAAGACTCTTGAGAGTCCCTTGGACTGCAAAGAGATCCAACCAGTTCATCCTAAAGGAAATCAACCCTGAATGTGCACTGGAAGGACTGGTGCTGAAGCTGAAGCTCCATTACCTTGGCCACCTGGTGTGAACAGCTGACTTATTGGAATAGACTCTGATGCTGGGAAAGATAGAAGGCAGGAGGAAAAGGGGGTGACAGAGGATGAGATGGTTGGATGGCAGCACTGACCCAATGGACATGAGTTTGAATAAACCCTGGGAGATGGTGAAGGACAGGGAAACCTGGCATGCTGCAGTCCATGGGGGTTGCAAAGAATCAGACAAGATTGAGTGATTGAACAAAAACAATAGCAACTGCATTTTCTTCATATAATTTTGTTTGTTTTTTTTTTTGTTGTTGTTGTTGTTTGTTTTGTTTTGGCTGCACTGCAGGGAATGTGGGAATCTTAGTTCCCCAACCAGGGATCGAACCAGAGCTCCTTGCAGTCAAAGCACAGAGTCTTAACCACTGGACCACCAGGGAAGTCCCCATGCAGTTTTAATCCTCATAATGATTTGTGATCAGATCTGTGATGGAGAGGGTCCTCGTGGGCTACCGTAGCTGGTCTTCTGATTCTATATTTCTGAGCTTAGGGCTTTAGAAAAACGTATCCACTCTTCAAATAGGATGGATGAAACACATAATATACAGGTGTCACTGTCCGTTTATTCCCGTCTCTGACACCACGGCCAGGATCTCAAATGCCTTACAAAACTCTATCGTAGAGCAGCGCCTCCCTCTCTTTTTACATGCTCGATAAATGAAGGATTGATGATTGACCTCCAAAGACCCTCCCTTTTCAGGAATGGGGCTGGGGGAGTGGAGGGAAGGCCTTGAACTTGTGGAGGTGTGGAGGCGAGCAGAGGCTTCCTGCCAGGCTCAGGCAGAAGAACCGCGTGGGAGCAGGACCAAGGCCAAGGCTGGGAACAGGAGATGGGGAGGATGCTGACGCACCACAGGCAGGGCTTGGGATTTTTCTGGGTTAGGAATACACCTAACCACCTCAGTCATCAGCCCCTGCAAGACAGAGTCTGACAGAGCAGTTCAAGGACACAGAGGAGTCAGAAAGATGAGGGCTGAAGCCACGTCCGTCCCTGGACTGTTTTGTCTTGGCACTGAGCTGGCATGCAGCACGTAGGTGCTGAATCAGTGACACGTTGCTGAGTTTGTGGACTGGAGGATGGGGATGGTTGAGGGAAGGCTATATGCTATAGGGAGACAGAGGGTACCACCCTCCCCGACCACAGGTGTCTGGACATAGAGGGCAGTCCACATTCCCGTGTTCTCTGTGTATCTTTCCTGTTTAAATGTCAGCCGTGGTTGGGATGGGTCAGTATGGGGTCTGTGGCTGCTTCTGCTTTCTAACTTCTGCTTATTTCTTTTCTCCAAGGCAGGAAAGTAGTGTGGTCTGATGAATGCCTAACTTGGCATGGAAATTGAAAGATCTGAATCGGACTTACTGTGTCGCTAGGGGAAATTTACTTTGACTCTCTGGGTAAACTGATACTTCAGCAGTCTTGAGTAAGTAAATAGAAAGCGATTCAGAGAAGGGCATCGTCCATGGCTGGCCCTTCCTGAAAGTAAGGCATGTGATTGTTTCTATTTGTTACCATAGCAACTAGCATGAGTAGGTTCCCTCTGCATGGTCCTATTCCTACTCTCGCTTTCACCAATTTTGACTCTGGTTTCTTCAACATCAGGTGATCAAAGAAGCTCAAACCTTAGACACCCAAAAAGTTAGTGCTTGCCCAATAAGTTCAGTGAATAGCTGCCCTAGGTGTACCCAAAGGCCGGGTATTCATTTTATTTTTATTTATTTCTTTAAGATTTTTTTTATATGGACCAGTTTAAAGTCTTTATTGATTTTTTTTTTTTTTACAGTATTGCTTCTGTTGTGTGTTTTGGTTTTCTGACCATGAGACATGTGGGATCTTAGCTTCCCTACCAGAGATCGAACTCACACCCCCTGCAATGGAAGACAAAGTGTTAACCATTGGACAGCCTGCGAAGTCCCTGGGTGTACGTTTTAAATAGCCTGGGCCTGGGATTGGTGTAACATACAAAGAGTTCACTATCAAGAATTCTGATGAATGATGCCTCACTCCCCACTCCTACACGTAAAAAGTCAACACACTTTCAATCTCAAGTGCCAGCAATTCAGATTAGATAAAGCCAAGAAAGAAACCCATGGGCTTACATACCTTGCATGTTTGACCTCAGGCAAAGATGGATATGGGGCTTCCCTGGTAGCTTAGACAGTAAAGAATCTGCCTGAAATGCAGGAGACCTGGGTTCGATGCCTGGGTCAGGAAGATCCCCCAGAGAAGGGAATGGCTACCCCCTCCAGTATTCTCTCCTAGAGAATTCCACGGACAGAAGAGCCTGGCTGGCTACAGTCCATGGGGTCACAAAAAGAGTTGGACATGACTTAGTGACTAAAGAACAACAAACAATACTGAATACTGGAAAATTGCTAAGAGTAGATTTCAGGTACTCTTACCACACACACACACACACACATAAAGGGTAACTACGTGAGGAGATGCATATGTTAATTAGCTTAACAGTAGTAATCATTTCACTATGTATAGTCAAGCCATCATGTTATACAACTTAAATACATGCCATTTTTTATCACAAAATTTCAAATGTCTTCAGAGCTCTGCCTCTGTCTCCCTCTGCTGGACAGGTGCTGCTGGAAGGTTGGAAGATGGTTGCCAACTCAGAGGCCCAGTAAAAGGAAAGTATTCAGTGATCCTTATTCTTGGCTGGAGAATTCCAATGTACGGAGGAGCCTGATGGGCTATGGCCCATTGGGTAGCAAAGAGTCGGACACAACTGAGCGACTAACACTTAACAGAAACGTCCCAGGGAGACTCTGCTCAGGTCCTGGGCCCATTCCTGAGCTACTCATGGGACACAAGGCCTCCTGAGGCAGGGTGGGCTTGGCTCAGGGAGTGGAATATGTTCACCTCTTGAGAAAAGCATTCACTTCCTAGAAGGATGACAATCAATGCTGGACAGGCAAAAACATGCAATGTCTCTTCGCCACCCTGAGCTAGTGAGAAGCCAAAACGGCAGAAACCTGCAGCAAACTGGGCTGCCCCATGCACCCAGGATCCAGTCTTCTAAATCTTATATGTTTCCAATTAAATCTAAAGAAAGAATTGAGGTCACGCTTTAGCAATGTGAAACGTGACACTGTTGTTGCTATTTGACTCTTTTGCTAGGTTGTGTCCAACTCTTTGTGACCTCATAGACTGCAGCACACCAGGCTTCCCTGTCCTTCCCTATCTCCCAGAGCTTGCTCAAACTCATGTCCATTGAGTTGGTGATGCCGTCCAACCATCTTATCCTTGGTCACCCCCTTCTCCTCCTGCCCTCACTTTTTCCCAGCATCAGGGTCTTTTCCAATAAATTGGCTCTTCACATCAGGTGGCCGGAGTATTGGAGCTTCAGCTTCAGTATTGGCCCTTCCGATGAGAATCCAGGGTTGAACTGTGCACTCTACTGTTTTCTATAGTTGGATAAGGCTCTTCCAGTTTGGTGAAGTTAAATACAAATAGCCATAGATTTTACTGCAATTGTCAAAATGTTTCTATGACTCATGGGATGAATGAGACAAATACACAAAAAGGTCAAAGCTACACTGAAGTCAGATCGTAATCACGTCCCTGAATTGTGACAACCCACGAATCAAGTTTCCCGCTGAGAGCACATTACTGACTTATTTTTCTCCATGGAGGGTACTTGATTACCCTAAAGCAGATTATCTATGAATTATCTGAGATCAGCTTTACACCCAGGTTGGCATCCTGTCAGCAGTCTACACAGCTCTTTCCTCTACCACTGAGTCGGCCTACTAAAGCTCAACCGTGACTCCCTGACCCAAGAATACAAATGTGAAACTACCAAATCACCTAATGAGACACGTGCATGCATGCTAAGTCGTTTCAGTCATGTCTGACTCTTTGAGATGCTATTGACCGTAGCCCTCCAGGCTCCTCTGTCCATAGGGTTCTCCAGGCAAGAATACTGGAGTGGGATGCCGTGCCCTCCTTCAAGGGATTGAACCCAGATCTCCAGCATTGCATGCAGATTGTTTACCAGCTGAGCCACAAGGGAAGCCCAAGAATACTGGAGTGGGTTGCCGTTCCCTTCGCCAGGGTGTCTTCCCGACCCAGGGATCGAACCCATCTTCTGCACTGCATGCAGATTGTTTACNTCATTAAACACTGATACTGAAGGCCTTAATTAGGTGATGATGTCTTCCTACGATAAGAAGATCAGGACTATCTCTAGCACCAAGGATGCTCTTAACACCCTGATGGTCTGCCCGTAAGTAGGGATTTCTGAGGTAGGTAGGCTTTATAGTCAGAGGAGATGGTCTCGGATGCCCTATAGACTATGTAAAACCCAGCTCAACCAGAAGAACTTTCCCTGACTTTGTGGTAGGTTAATTTTTCTCACCCTCAAACCTCTGCCTAACAGGTCCATGTCTTAGTAAAAACAATCTATCAAAACTCATAGAGGACTTGCCATGTGACCACAGTGAGAACCCAAAGATGAACTGGAAGAGGCACCTCTAGGCGAGATGCCATTGTGAGCTCAAGCTCCAAGCTCTCCAACTCCAGACACAGCAAGGATACGGGAAACACTTTTCAAAATAAAATCACACTGCAATATCAAATAAATATTTTCCATGGAAGAGAAACACACGGTTGTAAACAGGTCAAAGCCGTGAGCTTCAAAGTTTCCCAGTTAAGAAGGCAGAGAGGGGCAAAGTTTGACTCCTCCGGGCTGATATTCCCCTGGGCTGACAGGGAATGAAGACTTCCAGGCTCAGCATAGGGCCTGAATAAGGATGGAGCCTGAAGCCACAGGTGCTGCTGACCTTCCTCAGCTATAAAAAGCAGCAGGAAAACCATAGCCACTGCCCTAAACCACTGGCCTTTTTATAAAATCCAGGAAGCTCCAGCGATGAAAAGAAACAGAGACAGCATGGAACCCCATTCTTTTTTAATTGAAGTAGAGTTGATTTACAAAGTTGTGTTAGTTTCTGGTATACAGCATAATGATTCAATTATATCTATATAATTAAATTATATATATATAAGTTTTACAGATTCTTTTCCATGGCGTGCTTAGTCATTCAGTCGTGTCGACTTCTTTGCGGCCCCGTGGACTGCTAAAGATATTGAGCGTACTTCCTTGTGCTACACAGTAGGTCCTTGTTGGTTATCCATTTTATATATAGTGGTGTGTATATGTTAATCTCAAACCCCTAATTTATCCCTCCCCTCTCCTTCCCCATTTGGTAACCATACGTTTGTTTTCTATGTCTGTGAGACTATTTATATTTTCTAAATAATTTCATTTATGTCTTTATTTTAGATTCCACATATAAATGATATCATATGATATTTGTCTTTCCCTGTCTGGCTTACTTCATTTACTATGATAACCTCTGCATGTGTGTGTGATAAGTTGCTCCAGTTGTGTCCGGCTCTTTGTGACCCTGTATGGACTGTAGCCCCACCCGCCCCCAGGCTCCTCTGTCCATGGGATTCTCCATGCAAGAATGCTGGAGTGGGTTGCCCTCCTCCAAGGGATCTTTCCAACCCAGGGATCAAACCCATGTCTCTCACATCTCCTGCATTGGCCGGTGGGTTCTTTACCACTAGCACCACCTGGGGAGCTCCATGATAATCTCTAGAACAATGCATGTCATTGCAAGTGGCATTATTTCATTCTCTTTATGGCTGAGTAGTATTCCATTGTAAAAATATAGGGCTTCCCTGGTGGCTCAGATGGTAAAGAATCTGTCTGCAATGCAGGAGAAAAAACATGAAAATGAATCCTTCAGTAGAACATTTTATTATTATTTAGAGTTTAGCTAGCATGAAGAGCTATGAAATGAAAGTTAGTCACTCAGTCGTGTCCTACTCTTTGTGACCCCATGGACTATAGCCCACTCTGTCCATGGGATTCTCCAGGCAAGAATACTGGAACGGGTTGCCATTTCCTTCTCCAGGGGATCTTCCTAACCCAGGGATAGAACCCAGGTCTCCTGCATAGAGGACAGACTCTTTACTGACTGAGCCACCAGTGAAGAGCAATGCAGACCAGGGTTCACATCCCTATTCCATTGTATAAATATATCACATCTTATTTATCCATCCATCTGTTGAAGGAAAGTTAACTTGCTTCATGTCTTGGCTATTGTAAATAGCACTGCTATGAACATTGGTGTGCACGTATCTTTTTGAATTAGAGTTTTCTCCGGATATATGCCAAGGAGTGAAATTGCTGGATCATTTGCCAGCAAAGGTCCATCTGGTCAAGGCTATGGTTTTTCCAGTGGTCATGTATGGATGTGAGAGTTGGACTGTGAAGAAAGCTGAGTGCCAAAAAATTGATGCTTTTGAACTGTGGTGTTGGAGAAGACTCTTGAGAGTCCCTTGGACTGCAAGGAGATCCAACCAGTCCATCCTAAAGGAGATCAGTCCTGGGTGTTCATTGGAAGGACTGATGCTGAAGCTGAAACTCCAATACTTTGGCCACCTCATGCGAAGAGTTGACTCATTGGAAAAGACCCTGATGCTGGGAGGGATTGGGGGCAGCAGGAGAAGGGGGCGACAGAGGATGAGA